TTTTGGTTCACACAATTTTTGCCAAATATATTACACGTCAGTATTACACATTTCATTACATTGTCATGGATGAACTATGATTAGTTTAATCTATTGAAATAATGAATAAATTGTGGCTAATAATATCTTTTCTTGATCTCATTATAGTCCATGAAAATAAAAAGTTCCTGGACTGTTTCTAAATGTATTTTGGGGCTCAAATATAAAAATATGCATCAGCTTGAAATCTGACTAAATTTAGAAAGCATTTGCAGTGTTGAAACAGATCTCTTTGGTATCTTGGAAAAGAATACAAGTGTTGAGCTAAGGGATAATATACAAATCCCTCTCAGAAATGTCAGTCATTTAATTGCAGAGTCACACAATGGTTCAGGTTGGAAGGGACCACATTGGGTCACATGGTCCAACCTCACTGCTCAGACAGGGTCATCTTAGAGCACATTGCACAGGATTGCATCCATATAGTTCTTGAATATCTCCAGTGAAGGATTTCTTCTTCCAAAGCAAATAAATATAAGGGGGTCTTGCATGCTCAAATTGGACAGACAAGAGAGGCAGACATTCAAAAAAGATATTTCTGACTGATCTGAGAAAATTAGGTGAAAACTTATTTTCAGACACAGTGATTACATATCTTTGTAGTGACTAAATGGTTGGAAGCTGATGGGATATTCAGATTAATGGCACATCACACAACTGTGGGTAAACTCTCTAATGGCATGATTGTCTTAGCTTGACTGAAATCCATGACTTCTTCAGCTGAAAATCTGTCCCCTGGTGCATATGAAAAAGAGGCAAGGAGACAATTCTGATTCACATCACAAGAGACCTGCAAAGGCCTGGGCACTGTGATGCCAAATATGGACTCTGATGCAGTATTAGTAAGTGCTAGAATGAGACAAGACTGCATATCTGCCTCTGGTCTCCCAGGCAAGCATCTAGGAGATGGATAGGACAGTACATAGACTACAGTTATGCAGGCTTGGCACAGAGCATGTCTGGACCGTTATATTTGGTATCAGCCCAAAAAAACTTAAGAATATGAACTTCATCTGACTGCATTTGCGAAATCCTGCTAAAGCAGGATACTGGGGCTTTGCAGTCCTAAATGTCACTGCTGGTACCATTGCCAGGCCATCAAACCAGTCAGAAAACCTTCCTATCTAAAGGCTGGTCTATAGACTAAAAAGGGCCCTGTGCTTTCAGAGATCTCCTGAAATGTTTCAGGCTCTGTGGTCAGGACTGGCACTTCTGCCCGGGCTCTGCAGCCACACAAAGTTGGTGCAGCAATTACCAAACATGGGAACAGCTCAGCTCAGCTTGCAAAGGTTTACCAACCTTCAGTATCAGCCTTGAGACAAAGTAGAACAGTACAGTTCCTCTCTCCAGCCCTGTCCTTCTGAGCCTTACTGTTTGAAGCCACGATCCAAACAATCTACAAGATAATTATTGCTGCCACAATTAATCCAGCCACTCCTCTGCACTGGAAATAAGACCCATCAGGAAAGAAGCATTAGTCTTGACCGAGTTAATCTTTGGGTATTCTGATCTTTAGTTCAGATCAGAGAGGAGTCTTGAGTTTCCAGGGATGCTTCTAGGTAAAACCAAATGAGATTCAAAATTCTGGGAGAGGATTTTCCTTACTATTCAAGCGGAACTAGAACAGTTCTTTGAACTTTGCTGCCTTCTAGTAGCCATTTGGGGTGCTTATTTGTTAAGAAGGGAAGGGCAGCAAAATTACTTTGCTGTGTTTTGAAATTTCAGTGGTTTAGTTGATTTCAGACTATTCAGTAGGCTCCCTTACACTGCACCCATACCTGTATAAATGAACCTTACCCCTGGCTGTGCTTCAAAGGCAGGCAGCTTCAAAGATTTATCTTCTTCTTCATTTCATATCTAGAGGGTATAACTCTTAACAGAGAAACATGTGCTTGGTCTCTGCTGTAATTATTTTTATTTGCCATAAGGAACCTTCAATTCCTTCTTTTCTGAATGGTCCTTCAGCCTTTTAGTTTCATTAATGCTTCCCTCCAAAAGCAATTAGTGATGACAGTGTGTGCCCTAGTTCTTCTGATAATTTGTGTTCTCTGGCAAGCTGTTTATGAGGAAGATAAGATTGCCATCTGATTTATGATGACCTTATGATTTTTATTTTAAATAAGAAACCAGAAACTGAAACAACACAGTCAGCCATATAGCTGGTCCATCTGCTGGCATACAAACTGTTCTATAAGGTACATTTCTCATTATTTTAATCAAGTTTAGCTTTTAATATCTAAGAGTCTGTTCTACAAATTAACAGACTTCTCAGGCCCAGATTTTTCCTAAATTTTAGCTACATTTTTTTTCTGGCTGTGTTAGCCAGTGGTGAATATCTTTCCATTAAAGGCGGCTACTCTTCGGCCTTCTATTCAGAAGTGGTGCTGATTTTTAAAACTATGTGTTGTGTCCTGGCTAAAATGCAGTGCAGTACTGTTTCTCTTAGCACAAGTTCCCTTCTGTTAAGCAGTTGGTTCTTCATTTACTTATGGGTGTTCCCTTGATCTGTACAGCTTCACTATTGTGTAACTTCTAGTGGTTGCAATCAGATGTAACATTGATCAGTACTGAAAAGCATCAAGATGGATAGATTTTTCAGCAAGGGCTGCTCTTTATTTGCCCTGATGGCAGGCTACTTGATATCTGGTCAGCTTTCAGTCTAGATGTATTTATAATGTACTGTCCTGTAAGCATCTGACTCCACCGCAGCTAAGCAGGGCAGGCATTGTGAAAGCTAATGATGAAACCTCATCTTTATTAACTATAAATCACACTTTTAGTAATTTATCTGCCATTAGAAGCTATTACTGGCTATACTATACTAGCTAGAATTAATTTTCTGATAATGTGAATTTGGCCTGCTTCTCTCTCTGTCAGTCCGTTTCATATGCTGTACACACACAGCTTACCCACACCTGTATTTTTTGTCATCTGAGCTGTCTTTCACTGCACAACTAGCAGTGAAGTTCACCATTGCAAAGGTCCATTTGATATTCAAAGAAAGTACAATCCAGTAGCACTGAGAGCCTTCCTGTTGTGTGGCTCTGTGGCAATTCCCTGACTCCTGTTGCCGGGGTCTGACTGGCATCTCTGCAATTCTAACTTTAAAAAAGGTGAAGGGGAGCTTTGTAAGTGCCTGACCCATATATCAGTCTGGACTCAATATTGCAGGACTGGATAGCTAGATTATGATCTATGACTGACATTTATATGCTTAATGTTATGTTTAGTTGACGATGTTCAAAATGCTGAGCAGGAAATGGCTCCAACAAGATTGTTTCAGGGAGACTGAATAAATCATGCAGAAGGGTGAACAAAGAAAAAAATACAGTGAAACTGCACTCTTAGGGCTCAGGCACCCTCCTGTCTGACATTTTCCTCCTTCCTAGACTATTTGTAAGAAAGTGATTTATTGCTCACATTTCCCCTGCTGTTGTTCTCGCCTTCTGCAGTGGCATTGGAATGAACACTCACACTTTTCCTAGTTTCCAACTTCATTAACTGCCTGAAAAACTGGACAATAATCTACTAATTCCTGGCTTTTTCACTTGGTAATAAGTCTCTTCTGATCATTTTTAGCTATAGCAAAAGCAGAAATCACGTGTTATTAAGATTTTGGGGTTAAGCAAACTTCTTTGCAGGGTGGGGTTTTTCCGGCTTTGGTTAGTAGAGCAGGATGACATTTAGCCTTAGTCACTCTGGTTTAACCATTACAGTCTCCAAGACAGGGCTCTCTCCAGCACTGGGTTACTGATGCAATCCTGATCCTTGGATGCTGATTTTTCCCCAGAGTGATCTTTTGTAATACTGTAGTTCAAGTAAGGCACAGTTTTATATGTCTGGAAATGTAACAACATGTCAAGGTTAAGTCACCCAGTGTGCCAGACAAGCATATTTTACATATGCAGATGAAATTCTGAAACTCCGCTCATGTTGCTCAGCCACAGCTGTAGCTTCGTTCATTATGGAATCCTCGTAAATGGATTTGCTGTGGGAGACAACTGGCTGCTTGCAGTTACTGCCTCGCTCTGTGAAGTTTACAAAAACTATCAGACCCAAAACCAAGTGTATAAACCACATTTTATTTGAATTCCTGAGTTAAATAAGTGGTCAGGAGACCCCATAGAGACTGGGGAAGGAAGTAAATAAATTGATCACATTTACTAGCCCAGTCCTGCCCGTAGAAATCAAACTTAAAAAAAAAAAAAAAAAAAAAGCCCTTCAGTAGTCTGTATTTTTTGCTTGTTTATAATTCGATGCAATAAAGAGGTTCTGATCTCCAAATAACTGCTTTTCTCCAAAGTTAAGTTCTTTCAATGTTACTGACATTATAGGCTTGAATTTTCACAGCACATAAGTCCAGAACTTAGCCTGATCTGTGGGATTCAAATGAGAAACAGCCTGTGTTTCAGAGGGCTTGTAAGTTCCCACCAAGCAAAATGCTTCCAGAAGTCCCTTTTAGCTAGATTCATGAATATGAGTCTGAGTCCCAGCGTCAGGTTGCCAAATTCAATCCCCCTAGGACGCCATTGTATTGCCAAAATAAGAAAATACCACATTTTCAAAGCCAACAACCCAGTGCCCCCTACTGACCAAATATTCTCACCGGCTGGCAAGAATCCCTTCCAAAGGCCTTCGGACCACTGCTCTTTTGTTTCATTTCTGTCCTTTGTCTTCTTACAGTCCCTTTTAAAAAACCTCTTGCTACATTTTCAAAATAGATACTGTTTTTATACTTACCAGAAGACATGAGCCTTTCTTAATTCACTCCATGAAATCCAATTGTGATTCATATCTCTCTGTGTTGAAAGTCTTTTCATCACTGAGATAGTCCTTGCAAGACAGGACAGTAAAAAGGACTGTAGCATAGAAAAAAAAAAAGCTGCTGGCTTGACATTAAAGAGTTGAAGATTAAATAAATACCAGTAATGGCTTTTAAAAAGCTTCTCTGTCTTCAACAGGACCTCAGAATGGCTGTGGTGGTTACTTGACAGCTTCAGCTTATACCTTTGGCCCCCCAGTCTCCAATGTGACCAGAAGATATGAGAAAAATCTGGACTGTGTGTGGACCATAAGTGCACCTGTAAACAAACTGATCAACCTCACCTTCACTTCATTTGCACTTGAAGCACAGACTGCTCAGATTTGCCGATATGATTATGTCAAAGTAAGACATCTGTGTATTTTAAAAAGAAAATATCAATGGTATACAATCCATTATCTTCTCCATGAGGCTAACTTAATTAATAGCAAATGGTCTTAAGAAGAAATTAAATTGCTTAACATAATTATTTTTTTTTCATTGGGTTGGATTACTACTCCAGATGTCATTCTGCCTTTTTGGAAACCAATAAGAGTTTTAACATTGTTATGGGGCCATGCTTCTTAGGCTGCCCATATAAATCGGTATTTATTTCACAGAATACAAAACTCAAATACTTTTAAAGTAAACTTGCAGATTCATTATCATACAGTTGAAAGATCTTGAATTCATAAAATTTTGGATACACAAGTCTTGGTGCTCACTGCTCACCCGTGGAAGCTATTTTCTTGGAGATGAGCATACAAAACATCAGATAGCAGAATGCTGCTAAATAATTTCCACCAAGGAGTGTTACAGATCCTGTTGAACATTAGGCATTCTCAATGAAACTAGGAATTCATTATACATTTTGATGAATAAAATCAACCTTCCCACTGAAAAGCACTTTGAGTTCACATATAATAAATAAATCGGAATGCCAAATTAAAATATAATAGTTTTTTTGATAGATTTGCTGAGACAGAACCAGAATGTTCCATAATGAGATTTAGTGTCCAACAGAATTAGTTAATATGGCAGTGAATAATTATGGTCATCAAGAACATCCTGTTAAAGCACAAGAGCATATACTGCACTTTCAAGTAAAAGAAAAAGAAGGGGTCATACAATTTTATTTCTCTTTATTTGTTTGTTGTGCCTAAACTATTAGTGGCTTATATACTCTTCTTCTTTCAGCTTTATGATGGAGATAATGAAAATGACAATTTAGTTGGCACATTCTGTGGATCTACAGTGCCAGCTCCTTTTCTCTCTACCCGTAATTCCTTGACTGTGAAATTTGTCACAGACAATTCTGTGGAAAGGGAGGGTTTCAATGCTACCTACGTCACAGTGGATCGTACGTATTCATATATATGTATGCGTATATATTGTTGTGATTCTTTTGTGGATATTTCTATTTAAATAGTAATTCATCAAAATTTTTCATAGATATAAGGCTCAGGAAAGGGCAAAAATAGTCCATAGCACAGCATCTGTAAGCAGCTCTGCTAGACCCCAGTGCAATTCTCCTTGGTCTTGACTGATTGTAAGGTGACTGTCAGTCTGGAGTGCAAAACAGGAATGCTCACAGATTGTTAACAAATAGGCAACAAACATTTATTTGAGTTTTATGACATACATTGGCAACATTAGCATGTGTTTTACTTTCTTTCTCCTTCTAGAGACTCAGATGTAAATACAAAAGTATATCGACCAGTGTAGTTTTCCTCACAAAATATTTTTTCCCAGTTTAAAAAGTTTTCACTCTGATGCATTTGTTACTCCTCTACGCAGGCCTGTGTGGAGGAATATATAATGCAACTTCTACATCCCTGACTGCAACATCTCCTAACTTTCCGAATGAGTATCCACCATTTACTCTCTGTACTTGGGTCATTGATGCCCCTCTGCAACAGCAAGTCAGGGTAGAGGTAGAGGCCTTCCACCTCCATTCCAGCCAGGACTGCTCTCAGAACTACCTAGAGCTCCAGGACTCACCAACAGTAAGAAATTTACAGGTGATACCATTCCACATTCACATTCAGCTCTCATCCCTCTTTGGAAAGAGAGGAAGGAGAAACCCAGCATTTGGTAATAGATTGATTGATGATACTGTGTGAGAAGCACATCCAAAGCGTTACACACTGTGCCCCAGCTAAGGTGGGTTAACTGGTACACAGACCTTATGGAAGCACACTGTGCACAGATTGAATTAGACCTGGGTAAGTGTTACACAGTTTTTCCCACTTGCACCAAGTAACAGTTCTGCCAAACTTAACACCCAGAAAATACTGCCCGACAGTGAGTTTCCATAAACTAATTTTACTTCCTTCCATGCAAGAACCATAGTAAAAATGAATACTGATGCCAAGAAGAGTGTTTGTGAAAAACACCACAAAAAAAAAGCCCAACTGTTTATGTCCCTTATATTACATTATTCTAAACCTTCTTTTGTTATTTCTCATTTTACCATGACAATACCTGTTACATTTGATATGTTTCTCATAATAATTCAACATAAAATGTTGAAACATTATTTAGTGATTTCCATGAGAACTTTGAAATACAATTGCATAGTTAGTACAGAAGCTGTTGAGAGATTTATTTACCTCAAGTTCAGGAAGTAGAAAACTGAATTATATAATTAAGTAACTTGTGACATGTATTCAATTCCAGCATGGCCAAGGGTCAGTCCATAGATTCTGTGGCGCTGAAACTTTTCCAATCCCCAAATTTTATTCTTACGATCGCACTGCCATCGTGACGTTCAAGTCAGATGAATACATGATTAATAACGGAGTCAGATTTTCCTATCAAGCTACAGGTAAGCTTGAAGAAATGTCTAAAAAAATCTATCCATTATTCCCTCTGTTTATGCCATACAGTGAAAAGCAATACAGACATCTGAAATCCTTACATGTTTCTGGTTTTCTGTCTCAAGGTTGCAGCAGAGAGTATAATCAGTCATTTGGTTACCTGAAGAGCCCTGGCTGGCCTGGTCGTCACCCCAATAATATGGATTGTTCTATCATTCTACGAGCTCCCCCAAATCACACAATATCTCTCTTTTTCCATGCTTTCAGTTTGGAAGACAGTATCCACTGTTCACGTGATTTCCTAGAGGTATCGAGCCAAGTATACATATTTTGTGGGCCTGTGTCAAAATGTGCTGAATTCAAAGAATATTAATAAGCTCCGATCAAGTCTGAGCTGAACTGACATAAGGGACTAATTTATTGCTACAGTTTTATGGTGAAAGGTACTTAGGTCTTATATTAAGAGATTAAACAATACCCACTATAGTAAGTCCAAAACCAATGAATAAATAGTTTCATTATTAGCTAACTCATCTTTACCTAGCGCTTGTTGAGGTTACCCAGTTAACAGAGCAATCTGGAATAGTTTGCATTCGATATCAACCTTCATGCATGAACAGAAAGCCATAAACATGAGTGCTTTTTTCCAGCAGTAGATTCCATCTGCTTGATATTTTTTTTCCTAAAAAAGCATTTTTAATTTTCTTTAAAAAAAAAAAGCGCTCTAATGACAAGTGTAGGATACTTGCAAAGGTACTTTGTGTCAATAAAACGCATATCCTTCTCCTATGCAATCCTCACTCCTTCACTGGTCAGATGAGAAAAATCAGATATTTGTGGCAGAATCATTATTTAGTTCTCTTTTCATTTCCTCTTTACTGTCTCAAGAAATGGATCTGAGGATCAGCATTATTGGAGCTCAGACAAAAATCAAATTAAATCTGAGCTGTGTAATATGATCTGTGTCTTAATGTGACCAGGGAAAAGAGGGTAAAGAATTAATCTTTTTATTTGGAATATTAACATTTCTTATGAAAAGTAAAACATGGGTTTGCAAAAGCACATCTTAGCTACTATTTAAGTAATTTTCTTCAGTCAGGAGATGTACCATACCATAAAATTTAGCTGCTTGTTTCTGATGATACTTATTCTGTGCAATTACTTACAAAACTCAGACAGACTGGTTAATGGTCTTTTTTCCCCTTCTATACAAGAATATATAATAGTAAAAATAACAGTATTAAAATATGTAGTGACTTGAATACATACCATAATTGTCATTTTATGTTGTGCTTGTATCACTGAATAATTGTACTGGTGTGTACCTGGCATAGGAATTTAATGTTGACAATGTTTTTTGTGTCCCTTGAAGGTCAGAAATGGGAGTGATGTGCAATCACCACTACTTGGCAGGTTCTGTGGAAACACTGTGCCCAGTCCCATCTTCCCCCAAAACTACGTTGTCTACCTTCGTTTCAAGAGTGATTTTTCAGGGGCTCATGATGGATATGAAATTACTTGGACTTCATCGTCAAGTGGTAAGGCTGTAATTACAAAGTAATTCTACATTTTCCTTCCTACATAGAAGGAAAATGCAGCAATATGGAATTCTGCTATTTTTGGACTCTGACTCATCAGCACTTTAGACCTTCCCCAGAGGACATAGTCCACCCTATTCGGTTACTGGAGAGAGGTAGTTGCTCCTCAAGACCAGGCGGGTGAGATTCATTTTATGAGATGGAGGAAATTCCCTCTCTCTAATGCTGACTTTATCAGCCCCAGAGGATATAGTCCACTTAAGATGAAGATCAACTTCCTTCACTGAGAGGTCAGAAAATATCAGGAACATCTACCTTGGAATCCACAGAGTGGCAGCGGTGGTGGTGACTCAGCCTGCCTCGTTAATAGTCCAGTTGTGATATGCCCTAGGATCTAGGCACTGCTAAGCCTGAAGAAGACTGAAATTTGCCCCAAGACAATAAACTAACTATAATGTGTGATGACTATATCACAGACACACTCAAAAATGTCTTATGAAATGGCAGTGAACAGCTGGGTAATAGTTTGTTCATGACACTGAGTTACTGTAGGTAGGAGAGCTCATGACCAGATGAAAAGCACTGCAGAATAACTATAAAGTACTGAGTGGCCTAATGATGAAAAGGTAGATAAAGCTCAGTGTAGTAAAGTGTCAATGAAAAATGTGGTCAAAAAAAAGACAACCCTAACTTTACATACAAAAATATTAGCACTGAGTTGACTTTTAGCACTCAACAGCAAGACCTTAGGTGTAAAATAGTTTCATGAAAAGAAAAGCTGACTGCTCACTAAGGGTCAAGTAGGCTGGCAGAATGATAGGAATTGTTGTGAAAGGAAGAGAGAAGAAATAGAAAGCCACTGTATAAATCCTTAGCTCATGCATAAACTGAATGATGTACACAGTTCTGGTCTTCTCCTCTTATAAAAATTAGGATTAAAAAAGGGCTCAACATAAAAAATAGCTTCTGTATGAAGGATGCTGAGACTTGTTAATCTAGTTAAGAAACTACTGAAGTCTATAAAACTGAGTGATATTGGATGATAACTAGCGATCAACTGTTCATTGACTTTTCCCATAGAAGAACTAGAAGCCATCAGATACAGCCAGGAGTCAGCAGGTTCAAAACAAACTAAACAAACCAGTTCTTGACATAGTATGCAGTTAAGCTGTGGGGCTCCTCCCCATAGCATACTACAAATTTACATCGATTCAAAAACTACCCACACAAATTCATGGAAGACATTTGATAAACACTGAATAGAAAGATTCCACCTCTGAGAGCTGTGAGCTGAAAATTCTTGGAGACTGTGAAAGTAATCTGAGGCATGACCTGCACATTTTTACTCTATAAACTTGCATTTTTCCCAGGTCATTTGATTCTGCCCACTGTTGAAGATGGAATTTTTGTATAAATGGCCTTTAGTTTACTGAATACAACTATTTTATCTGAGTTGTTCTCTATATTTTTCTATCAGATGAGGATTCACTACTTTTCATGAAGAACAGTCAAAGAGAATTCATCTCTAGTTGAGTAGCTGGGAACTGAACTGACCAAGGCACTTTGGTTTTTAATATTCAGTGATGCCCATTGCATATTTTTCTCAGGCTGCTGAAGCTAGACCCTCAGTTTTGTCTCTTATTGGAATAGTGCTGTTATCCACATTAGTTGTTACAGCTCACAGTGTCTGTGTTTTTCAGTGATACTACCAATACTGTACTAATGTACTAAATGATGTATTATTTTGTGAAATTAAGCCTTCTAGGCCAGTTAACAATGTCTGCTTCCAGGATGTGGAGGAACATTATATGGCACCACTGGCTCTTTTGCCAGTCCCAGCTACCCAGCAACTTACCCCAACAACACTGACTGTGAGTGGGCCCTTGCTGTGCCCCAGGGACGAATTGTCACAGTGAACTTTGATTTCATCAGCATCGATGACCCAGGGGATTGCAGCAGCAACTATCTGATCCTCTACAATGGGCCAGATGCCAGCTACCCCCCTGTCGGGCCATACTGTGGGATGGTATGTATTGCCTTCTGTCTGTGACCCTGTAAGGGGTTAAAATGATTATTTACTGTTCAATATACAAGACTGTTTCCCTAATTCTGGTATGAATTCCACATGAGTGGAAGTGAAGGCGCAAAGCATGTGAAGCACCTTAGAAGCCTTCCAATTCAGACCGTGCAGTGACATCTAGTGGGAGACATCAAGCTAGTTTGCTCCATATTTAGTTGTATTTGTGATTTAAATAGTTGCAATACCCTGAGGGAGAAATGCAGCAGCAGTATCTACCACAGACCTGAGGCCTCTTTCAATCTATGATCCAATATGTGCCTCAGTTTTAACACTCTCAGTGGCTCTTCCAAACGATCTTCACTTTCTCTAATGCTTTTCATTTTTCTTGTCTTGAATTTTAGGATACAAACATCGCTCCATTTACTGCTACATCTCATCAAGTCTATATAAAATTTCATGCTGAATATGTGACTTTACCATCAGGATTCCAGTTAAGCTGGGCAAGCTAGAACACTGTTTATGAGAAATACATATTACCATTCCTTGCTATACTGAAGAGATTTTAGATTATAAAGGAGGTTTGAAATCCAGTGATGACAACTGCAGCTGAAGTAAGGCCTTTTAAAAGTTACTGTAAGTGTTACTGTTATGAATTTAGGATTCTGTCAAAAAAAAGAAAAAAGTGATCTCCTGTTGTACTGACAATAAACTATTATCTACCCAGGGAAAAGGAGTTTTTGCAATATACTTTTTATATTCTTCTACATAATTTCAAAGTTTTACAATTAATGCTATAAAAAGTGAATTAGCTGGGATAAAACTTCAACATGAAATTTATAAGAGGACCAAAGATATGAAATTTTCTTTATGTTGCTCTGAAGTTATGTGGTTTTGTTCCAAGCGCCCCTGAAAATGTCAGCTCAAGTTTTATTCAAATTGGATAAGATGAGAAATTGCAAAAAATGCCCCTGTCCTACAGCCTCTTACACACCTAACTGTGCTGAAGAACTTTCAGTAATATGTGCATTGGATATAAGAACCTGGGTGAATCAGCACTTGAGCATTTACTGAAGTTTAACACAGCAAGGACGTGACGTGGTTCTAAATCTTAACCACATTAAGAAGTAATGTCAGGATCAGAGCCCTAGGTTCAATATATACAAATGTCTGTAATTATACTTATTGAGTTATATTTTCAGGCTTCTAAATCTATTTTACAACTGAATATGAAAAACTTCTGAGTCTTTACCAACTATGTCACCTTTTTAGTCAACTTTTAGGCAACTTCCTAGACATTTATGAAACAGATATAACTTCAGAATAGGGCAGTCATAGAAATATCAATTAATCTTTGACTACAATTAAATTTTCCTTTCCCTGGGCTAACACACATCAAATATAAAAGACGTTGTTGACAGGGCATACAGAGTATACTGTTTCCCACGATGAAACATTTTTTGTCACAACCCAGAGCAAATGACCAATTCATTTCCTGAATGTCAACTGTGAAGGACAGGCAAGAGAAAGTCGAACCACAGCAAAGGAACATGGGCCTTATCAGAACTCTCACTTCACAACTATTACAAAGAGTCATTCACAGTGAAAGCAATTCCTTAATGTGACTATAGCAAAAATTAATTATGAAATGACAATAAAGTATAAATGGCAGTTTTAACAAAATCTAGGAACTCTTTGAAGATTTCACAGTGAAGGCCAAAATGCCACCATTCCACAAACACATAAAACTTTATAGCAGCTGAGCAGCTATTCTGGTTAAAATAAAATGTAGAAAAAACAAAGCAGGCAAAAAGGACAAGATACAAAATACAACTCAAAATCCTCTGATGGTAAGTTAGAAAGAGAGAAACCTGTTAATTCCCACTGGCCAACAGAATGAGATGTAAGCCAGCATTTTAAAATTGTACAAGGACTAAGAAAAACTGAGCCTGTGTCCAGGTGATACTCCTGCTAACATGCCTAAATATAAAATGGAAAAAGGAGAAATACCTGGTGTGGGATCAAACTGGCAGACATTTGTTCTGCTGAGCTGCTAGCAAAACAGAAAATTCCTCTAATAAGGGAAGATATAAAAAGACCCTAATGTCAAATAAAACATTTTCAGTTTAGTAGTCCAGAAAACTTTTGCTCTGAGTCCACTTCCAAACTGATGGCATATTTGCAATCAAAGGATGATACAATCTTTGTCCATACTGTTTATTAAAACTCACTACAGGGGATAGCAAGCAGTAAAGAAAGAAACATCTGAACTGCCTGGAGATGAAGCCACAAAATAAATTCTAAAGACAGCAATGTGTAAGTCACTCCAAGTGCAATCAAGCATGGATTGAGTTATTTGCCTACAAAGATAAGAAGGACTGTATTTCTTCCTGCATCACAGGGCTATGAATGTCTGTTTTGGCTCTGATCTTCCTATGAATCCCCATGGATTTGGCGCAGTTGGTGCAGGGCAGAGAATCCCCTCAATATCTGGTTGCTGTCACTTGCTGGTAGGTGGCTGGAATGGAAACATCAGATTTTAGGCAAGAATTGGCTTGACAGGAATGTTGTCCTTTTCTGCATTTCTGCTGCAGCCTGGAGCACAGCTTGGCTGGAAGCCACAGATGAAAGGGAAGGGTATGTCTCTCTAAACAACTCCCTGCCACTGCAGGCAGTGTTCTGTGGTCCATTGATTGCTCCTGTTAAAAGTGGATCAGTCCTGTCAGAAATGAGTTCTCACATTAAACCTTGGCTTTGTCGGGAGTGTGACAGAGCATAAACTGACAAACGGAAACCTGTACGTGGTTTTAATGAATGAAGTTCATTAGTGGATTTTTGAGACTGATATCAGTCACTTGTGATACAGTTTAAAGACAAAGTTTCCCAAGGACACCCCAGTCCCGGTGCTTGCTGAACTGGGGCTGGCCTCCTGCTGGCTTAGGGACTGGTATGCAGACATGATCTGGTGGGCTGTGATGTGCATGAGGCCATTCTGGTAACACAACCTTTGTCCTTAAGCTCTAGAGGGCAACTCTAGCTGAACTGGTGACTTTGCTGAAATCTGTACTTCAAAAAGGCTGATCTCACTAAGAAAAAAAACATGTTTCACTTTAAAGCAGATTAAATGCTATTGGACATCTTTTGATATGATAAATGCTTGCTCTTGGCAAGACCTTTGGTCACAATAGCAAATTTTATAGAATCATTGAACTTCTGCAGAATGAAAGACTGAAGAGCACTGGGAATGGGAGGAAGAGAAATTTTTAAGTTTTTTTTTAGTCTAACAATAAGTAATGATTGGTGCATCTTTAAATGTTAGAAATATTCAATACTCATGCATAATTTTATTTACAAATGAGCAAAATGCACGAGGTTATTTAGAGAAAAAAAAAAAAAGAAAGTCCAGCAGAGAATTTGTGCTCATGAAGACTGTTGAATGAAGCTCCTGGTACAAGGTTCAATTGATCTAGCCCAACTGACTCTCACCAAAAATAGTCAAAGTCTAAAATTAGAGTAAATTATCAAACCCATTCTTTTAAAAAAACAGGAACAAAGTAACCCACTGCTGTCCTCTAACATTTTATATGAGGAACCACAACAGAAGTACCAACTGCAGAAGTATTAAAGTGGAGGTCCTTAGAGGAGAGAGCTAGTGCTAAGCCATGTTTCTATCTTGGAAGGTAAGGAGTAATTTAAAACGCTTTAAAATGAATGCACAGAAAATGCAAACAGGAAGAACTAAACAGATAATCTAAAAAGAATTATTCCATGAAACTTCTATGTGCTTTTTGCAGCGTACGATTCAAAAGACAAAATCTGTGTTTAATAAGATTTATAGTTTCACTCACAATGCTGCCATGAATATCTTTGCTTTTATGTCTGTGCACATTGCTATTTTATAGATAATGTCATTGTTGTGAATGCTGCATGTCCATATTATGATACCTGCACAACTACAACCTCTCCCTGTCAATGACAAAGCACAGATAATGAAGTGCATATTTTCACTTCCTAGAGCCTGCATGTTTTCATTTTATACATAAATCGTCTTCTGCTTGTTAGTATAGATATTTATTCTTATATAAAGGTAATTTTATGCGGCAGTTACATATGAATGGTAAGCCCTCTGAAGACCAGGATTTGAAGAATAAGAACTAAAAGGTCCATAACAGTGTTTTTAATTGCCCTTCCCATGTGACAGGACTATTCTTTATAAACAATAAATAACAAGTAATACCACAATGAGATATTGTTAGGACTATAGTTACCTGAAGTAAAGAAGACAGAAGATATTCAGCTGAAATGCTAGAAATCATGGTGCTGGTCAATTTAAAACATTAGCTAATTTTAGTTAAATTTTCAAAGCAATTTTAACTGAAAAACAGTTTTCAATTGGTTCATAAAGCAAAGGAGGGGGTGTCTAAGTTTCCCATAACAACTCAGGATAAGTGTCCTAGGCATCAGAATTAACATATTTAGCATAATTATTTTTTGTCAACTGCTGAACTAAACTACAGAATTATTCTGCAGTCCTAATTTAAATGAAATGCAACAAAAATTCATAGGATTGGCTACTGTTCATAATACAGAACCACTGCAACAATACAGGGTTACTAACAAGTAAATTTTTAAAATGTTTATTAAGTGATAATTAAAATAGAGGCCAAATTTTGCTTTTATAAGAAAAAGATCAGCAAAATAAATATTGCATGCCACTTATCACACTTACTTAGTGTAATGGTGATGGATACATTTGTAGTAGCCTTGCCCAAAAGTACGCAAGTGGTTTTGCAGGGGCATGTTGCTGTTGTATCGCTTTGAGCACATGCTAACCCTGCATTAATGTTGTCCATTATCATAGCTTTTCTTGGAGGGGAAAAAAGATAAAAATAGAATAATAATGCAAAACCTCGATTCCTTGGTTGGAAGAACTACCTAGGACAGTGAGAGCAAGGGCGGGGGCAGAGCCACTGATCCCCTTGCTGCTTCCCAGCATAGTGAAAGGAAGCAGTGGGAGCCACATCCAGCACTCACTGCCTGATCAGAGCAGGCTGGGAGCACTGTTGCAGGGGCAACTTTTCCCTCCTCTGACCACTACAGGGCAGCTGCAGCTCTGTCATACAGTCCTGGCCATATATCTACCTCATAGTCACCTACTTCAACTTGCTGTCCTAAGGACAGAAGGCATACACCAGCCTCTGCAAAGAATTTAGGCATCTGCTCATATCACATTTAAGCCAAGTGACAGATTTAGAACAAATCTGACAGATAGCAAAGATATTTTGTAGCTGTTTCATAAGCAAAAAAATCAGTAGCTTGATGGCCTAAATTGGAAAAGCCTGTACTGTGAGCTCAAGCACTGTACATGTGGGGAGAGCTCCACTGGCTGGTCCCCAGGCACAGGCTGACCAGCCTCTAGCAGGGGGTATACAGCAGGAGTTAAGGATATTTGGGGCTAAAGGGGTTACAGAAGAACTTGATGGACTGGTAGAGGTGGTGGGGGATAAGAGAGGGGCCACTGGGTTACTGCAGTGGCATAGGCCCCCTGCAGGAAATGACTCTTCACGAGTTTGACTGCTGAAGGGAAAATGTGCATAATTTTTCACGACCAAGAAATGACCTGACCCTTGGACAGTGTGGCTTCTGAACCTTCTTTCCCACTCCTTCTCAGACAACTGGTATTTAGTGCTCCACAAGATGCTGACAAACTTTAAAAGCAAAGCTCGACAGCAACTCCTCTGCCAAATCCAGCACGGACCTGACGGGTATGGATTTGTGCCCTTACTCAGACAAAAGGTTTGCTCAAGCAGGAACCAAAGTAGCTTGCATAGAAGGTATGAGTGATAGATGAACTTGTTACCTAACAACAGGATAATGAAATTAGGAGGATGGTAAAAAAAACACCACAATCCTCACAAAAGGGAGTAATGAAAATATGTTTATTAAGTGAGGAGTAATTCAATATTTCTATGGTAGGGGAAGAATGTGGATATCTAGGCAACGTACAATGTTCTGATCACTGCATAAGCAGGGCAGAGAGAAGCCAGGTGAGCTTTGCATTAGCCACAAAAACATTGTTTTGTGAGTATCTTGTTACAGTCACATGTGCTGTTTGTTGGAATAAGGAAGTTAGGACCATATTTATAGACAATAAATCTGCCTGAGCCTTTGCTACTGAATGAAACCTGCAATCATTCTCTCTGAAATAAGAACTGCAGACATGTTAGCACCTACATCTTTGGGACAACTGACTGGTGACAGTCAGGGCATTTTCTTAGACAGAAAAGGGATCCAGATTCATGCTCCTAGAGACAAAAAAGAGCTGTATATCATTGTCTTGTGCATGTGAGTGACAGTGTGTTCTGTGCTGAGAAATCCGGATAAAAGGAAGGTCTTCCACTTGTGTCTTGTAAGAAAGACCTGAAGGCAGCCTGTAGCTACAGGAAAGGCTCAAGGTAGTAAACACCATCTGGGTGTCTAAGAAAATGCCCTGACTGTCACCATTAATGGCAGCCCATTAATTAAATCCTTACATTCCTAAAAAAGGTAAAGTTGAAGTTGTGCCTCCAGAAAGTTTGTTATTTGCTGGCTTAGGCACATTCCCACTCATCATCTTTCGGCTAGCTTATTATTTTAGGCTAACATCAGGGAGCACATATGCAAAATTCAAAGCTTTGGTTCTCAACAGGTAGCCTAGCCTTAGGTAATTTTATAGATTTTGCCATTAATTGCTCTGAGCTTCCATGTCTGTGTAACAACAGGAAGTAGGAGCTTCTTATCTCCTATCAAAGATGTTACAGCATAAATATATTCTGGGCAGTAAGGCTGTGACTCCAACATCATGGTGTGACAACTAAAAGTGCTCAGAACCTGGGTCCAGCCTTGTCACTAGGTTTGCAACTAGAACTGAGTAGACAATCCACGAAGGCACCTTAAGAAATGGAAACCGCTGATTCAATGTTCCCTTTTGTTTGCTTGGTTGGGTTTTTTGATAATGTCTTTTCCCTCAGAAAGCCTTTGCCAACTTCACCGGATCCTAAACTCCCCTTGTCCCGACCGCTCCCTCAGGGCACGGCCGCGCCCCCGCTTTCCGGGGCGGGAGCTGCGCTGCGCCTGCGCGCGCGGGCGGGGCGGGAGGCGGCGGGCGGGGCCCGGCGGGGCGGGGCGGGCGCGTGCAGAGCAGGGATCCGCCGGGATCCGCCCGCTGTTCGCCCCGCGATCCCGCTGTGTCCTGCCTGGTGTCCCGCCGTATCCCCTCGCGTCCCGCCGCACCACAGCGCGGTGAGTCCCCTCGGGGGCAGCGGCGGGCCTGTCCCTCCGCGCGGGGGCGAGAGGGCGACCGGCATCCCGGCCAGTGCTCCGCTGGGCTGGGTTGGGCTGAGCTGGGCTGGGGCGGGCGCGGCGAGACGGGATGGGACGGGACGGGGCCCGCCGGCGGCGCGGAACGGGCGGGCTCGCTGCCCTCGGACCCCTCGGGGCCATTCCGGCGCTGTCCCGGTGGGAGCCTCGGCCGGCTCACGGTGTCCGTTTCTGCCCCTCCCAGACCATGTCCAAGTCGCTGAAGAAGATCGTGGAGGAGAGCAGGGAGAAGAACCAGCCCGAGGTGGACATGTGCGACCGGGGCATCTCCAGCATGCTGGACGTGCCTGGCCTGTGTAGGTACTGGCGGGCGGGCACAGCGCGGAAACTTCCTTATTTGTCCCGGGGCGAGCCGGGGCCGCCGCCCGGGGCCGGGGCCGGGGGGAACCGGCCGCCCCGCCCCACTCCGGCCTCTGCCCCGGACCCGCTGCCCCGGGCAGGTCGCCCGAGCCTCCTCCGTGCAGGGCAGACCTGACGCTTTGGACACCGGGGGCTTCGGGAGAGATCCGTGGGCAGGGGAACACGCCCCGCTTCAGGCTCCCGTCAGCACCGCGGGGAGCCGTGTATGTCCAGGGGAGCCCTGCACCGGAGGGACCGGCGTGGGGAGCCGGGGCTCCCTCCCGGCACCTGCAGCGCTCAGCGTTCCCTGTCGCACTGCTGGCATTCTGGCACTTGAGTGATGGGAAGACTTTGCCTCCTCTCCGCCTTGCTACCGAAACAAAAACATCAGCCAAGCAGCATCTCCACAGTTTTTAGGAAGGGATAGGGTGACATCACCCTGGGACTATGCGTGGCTGGTGTCTGAAGGAGAGGACAGTAGCACTGTATTACAAATACAGCAGCATACTTCAGATATTAAATGATTGCACATGCTTCCTGAACCGTGACAGGATGTTGCTGCTGGTATGTTGCATTTGCTGTGGTTAATTTACATCAAATGCAAGATACCAATAACAGCATGCTGTCACAGTTCTGGAGAACACATAAATGAAGAGTCAGGTGCCTTTCCCTTACTTTTGCTTTTTCTGAAAATGCACATGATGCTATGGCACAGCCAATATGCAGGGAGTTAAAGTTGTGATTGGTTGTAGTGTGCCACAGTCTGAAATTTTCCTGAATGCATGAAGTTTTGAGACAAAAAAGCAAAATCTCAACCAACCCAGGTACTTAAAATTGTAACTATCCTGGTTTACCTCTTTACCATGTTTGTTAAATTTGATAGCAGCCAGGAGCAAATGTACATAACTCTTCTTATAAGATGGACATGAGTATAGCTCAGTACCAGTTTGCCATTACCTGCAGAGTCAGGAGCACACCAAGGTACCTGCAGTCACATCAGTAAAAGATGAAGTCTTAAGTCCAGTTTAACAGAACTAGGTTCTGTACTGAAATCTTCATCATGTACTAATTCTTTTCCTGCGTCTGGGTTGTGTGTGGGATTTTGGGAAGATGATGTTGTAAAGACTGTACATGTGAACTCACATTAAATAAAAAGCTTCTTTGTATTTCTATTGGACGGGCAGTTATTTGAGGCAAAGTAGTGTTTAGCTCGCATTAACAGATCAGTTTTCAGAACTATATTTATACCTGTCAGGTAGCAATAGATGTTGAGTGTGTGGGGCAGCAACAGAATACTTGTAACAGTTGGTTTTGTTAAATAGGCTTGGCGCCTGTTATCAACACTAAACACATAATTAATTAGTCAGCTTTGATCTTTAGGTGGGGAAAAAAGATAATGTTGAAGCATGTTGGTAACGCTAAAAAGAAAAAAAGCTTTTCTTGTGCAAAGACTGTTTTGGGTTTGTTTTTCAGGCAGAGCCAGGGACCACAAGGTGGGACACTGTGGTCCACAGATAGTCCTTGATACCAGGCTGCTAATTAAGCATCTGAGGTGTCTTTGACAGGGAGCTCCTTACATGAAGTGTAGAGTCGTGGTACCCTGATTAGGCTGCACTGCATCAGAGAAGTCTGTGTGCAGATACTCCTGGTGCACACTGAGTGACTTGATCTAGCATGGGGATTTGGGCCCTTCTCCAGTTTGAGATGAAAGTTAGGAAAGGAGGAAATGATGACTGATTTCTGTTAAGTTAATTTATTATTCATTTACTTTGCTCCCTGACAGAGAAAACGTAAGTTGGGGTTTTTGTTTCAGTTTGGTTTTTTTAGTGTTTGGTTTGGTTTTGGTTTTTTGTTTGTTTTTTTATAGTCAAGATATTCACTTTCTGGATGAGGAATACGTTCTGCCAGATATGCCTTTAAAAAGGTAATGAATAGGTATTACCTCTGAATTTTTGGTAACAGTTTGAGAAAATGTTAAATGTGTTGTTTTCAAACCCTGTCATCTGACTCTGAATGGGTGGTCTTTTCTAGTATAGATTGGGTATTTTGGTTGTCTCTGGCTCTCAGAAGTGGCATGGAAACTACATGAGTCTGACATGGTACCTTCCTTTCTTGGTGTGTTGGGTATCTTTCCAGGGCAGTGTTAAAGCTTGCCTTTTCAGCAACTTTTTTAATTTATTTTTTTTTTCACAAAATAAAGATCTCTGTTAAAAGCAACCATCACTATTCATGCCCAGCAACTGTTCTTTCACAGCATTTTGTCTTTTAGAAGGGCCACAAGTAGAGGTTCAGAGATAAGCAGAAGTTTAGGCTATGATTGGAGGGAACATTTTTAGCTATTTGAGGTCTAAAGACTTGGTAGCTTGGAGGATATGCCTAAGTTACTGTGTTCAATAACCCCTGATAAAGATTTCGTCTCATGTAATTATTTAGTGATGGTAAATGCCCCTACCACAGGGGCCAGTAACTCTTAAAGGTAAGCTGCTCGCTATAGTCCTTACTCTTCAAGGAAAGGAACAAGCCTTGCCCCACTGCATGTTTGAGTACTTGCTGCAGAGTGACTAGTGAACTTGTATTTAAGCTTTCTTAATTCACTTAGAGTTACTGCAAGCACAAGGATTTGGAAGTAGAGTACCATGCAACATCTGTTTGGTGTGCCAGTCCTTCTCCTTAGGTGTAGACCTATTCTTGTCATGTGTGTTTAAAAAAAAACAAAAACCAACAAAATGTGACATAGAAAACTGGTGTTATATGGGGGCAGAGAGGAGCAAAGGGCTTGGATACAATTCTCTTCTGGCTTCTCTTTTCAGTCTAATGAATTACTTGCTACAGTACAAGGCAGTCACCACTTGTATTTTCTTTTGCCTTGACTTCCACCCTCTGTAGCAGCTGTGGGAGATACAAAACAGACAACATTTGCCTCTGTCAAATACTAATGTCTCTTTCCAAATCAAGATGCAATACTTCTATCTGAAAAGAGATTGACACTTGGTATCTGAAGCTGTCTTAAGCTAGCTTAGACCTTTACATCTTGGCAACCTTTGCATCTCTTCCCACTTTTGTGTTTAGCAAGAGTGGAGTTACCAGCTTATTTGTAATGTGGCATTCAGATTCCCAAAGAAAAGTTCAGGAGTTCCTTAACCACTCCTTGCCCAGGAGTTCATTAATGTCATTAGAAATAGAGTTCTATTTTTGCAATGTCCCTCAAATCCAGGTACTTCCATGTTGCCTTCTAATGACTTAAAGTACAAACTAGAATTGTATTACAGGCTTTTAGAGCACCTAAATTTTTGATGCTTTCAGAATTGTTAATACAAGAAAGCTCTTTTCAGAGTAGTTCTGTAGGAAAGAGATTTCATTTGAGACAGAAAATATCCCTTGATCTGAGTGTTCTGTGCTTTAGCTTGTCATATTAATTCAAAGACCGTGTGAAACAGTTTCAAGCATTAAAGACTATTATTATTCCAGCATGTAATAAAAGAAATGTTATACCATTTGTGAGCACATATACGCACTATAGTTGTGCATCCTCCATACACAAATAGTATTAAAAAATATCTTGCCCTGTGGAAGTGTTCTATGGTGTTGGTTTGGGTTTTTTTATTTCATATTATGACATAAATAGATGACCTTTGTTTATAAAGCACCCACTATGGACGGGTAACGGTAGAGAGCACCAATAGGCACCCTGTAGGGTGAACAAGCAAATTCAGCACATAGAGAATGATGTGCCCTTCCCCTAGCCTAGCAGTGGTTAGAACACTTATTGGTAGAACTTTGAGCAGCCATCAACAGCTATGGAATTGTTTGTGGGAGTATGGACCAGTCTAATGTAAGTGTCTTTTAAGAGGCTGATATGAAGAAGCTATGAATTAAGGAATTATTTTGCCCAAATAACTTGAGGCATCTGTTCTGTTGTCAGGGAGATTTACTCTGTAAGTGTTAATTTGCTCTCGTTATCATTCCATCTGTAAGATATTCATATTTTGCATAAAGTACATGCTTGTGTGGTAGGAATTAACATGCCTAGAATTATTTATCAGAAAGTTAGTGTTGATATAATTGTTCATTCCTAAAATAACCAAAGCACAGAAGATGAAGAGGCAACCTACTGTAACAATACTGAAATGCTCATCCTGCATTAACTTCCTCCAGTGGGACAGACAATGCCTTATCTTGGCTCAGCAAGATTGCTGGGGTCTTCCTGTTTTGTGGGTGTTTTTTGTTTTCTTTTTTTGTAATTTATTTTACCCTGGGTTTAGTTGGGTTTTTGTTGATTTTTGTTTTTTGGCAGGGGGATGGAGTTTTTTTGTTTGTTTATTCTTTCCTTTTATAAAAAAAAAATAGGTTGAGTAGTGTCATCCAGATATTTTATGTAAAGGTAGCTTGCAGTGCATGTGTGCTGCTGTCTAGCATTTGGGGCAGTTCGGTGACTTTATATTTCTGTGGTGCAAATAAGTTGCATGCGAGTGATGTCGCATGCGAGTGATGTCTCTTTATGAGCTGGTTTCTTGTATGAGTTAAATATTATTTGGCATGCTTTTCTTTTAAATATTGAATTACATCTTGAGCACAGAAAAGCAAATCCTCAGCACTTTTCTTAGTCCATGTGAGTTGTCATTCTGATTTGTATGCTTATAATGGGTGTTTCACTTAGTGGAGCGTGGCAAGGGGAAGACATTACCATTTCCTGTCACTACCTTGAAAACTTTCTTTTATTTTGATACCTTGGACGTGTCTAGCCTTAGCATTAACAAATTCATAGAAGTCATATTCTCATGGAAGAGGTAGTTCATGAGCAGAAAAGAGTTAAGAAAGTCCTATCATATTGGTGGTTATATGAACTAAATTTGAGCTTTCCTCATGTAGTTTCTCAAGTTGTTCTAGCTGCTTATTAAAAGGCACTTGGTGAGGATTGATGGTCTTAATGTAATGAAGTTCATTATGGACTCCGACAAAGTAAAGAACAGATTGTCTGAATTTTGGATTCTTCTGTGAAGCTGGCAGAGCTCTGCAAAACTGGAATGAACTAGTTAAGGCCACAGAAGTGTGGTGACACCTTCGGTCCTTGTCCTGCTCTAGTAAACCATAGGCACCATCAACTTCAAAGGGAAAAAAGAAATAGTGCAGAAGTTCTTTTAGAATCCACTCTGTGCCTGACTGCCCAGTTTGACATCCCAGTCCCTGCACCCACAGTTCAGTGTGGGTTTTGGGGGACCTTTGGGTAGCAGTGATGCAGGGTCCCACCTTCTCAGAGCCCAGTTATCATAGTGCTTGTGGCAAGATACTGACTCTTTAGTATGGAGGTGAAGTGGTGTTGGTCTTTTTTGCCACTGTAGTTACATCATGCCTTTTAAAGCCTAAAGCTCTTTGCGGAGGCTGCTGCTTTTGTCTGCCCTTTACTGCTGGCTTTCCTACAATATTCTTACAGACTTTCTATGGACTTCTTTCCCTGTCCTCCTGTTCTATATTGTGAGGTGGTGCAGGCAGTACTTAAAGTGCTCATATTTTAGTAGAAATTTAGGATGGGTACAGTGTTTCTTCCTTTTTCCTCCCTGCCTTTCCTTCCTCTACAACCTGCAATTGCATAGGGAACTGTGGTGATGCTTTCTTTTTTTGCACTGAACTTTCTGATCTGATGGTGCTTGTGACTGCTTTCATTCTGCTAACAGGTTATAATTGCCTGTGTTATGTCATGAGCTTTTTCAAGGGCTACTGAAAGGGGCTGCTGTATCAGCTCTCCAAGTCATGTTTGATGCAGTAACAGAAATGGGGACAGGGGAGTAGCTGGATGTGTCCTTCAGTCTTGAGTTTGTCTTGTTTGTTGTGACAGTGCACAAATCTGAAGTTACTGGAGTGGAGAGAATAACTTTCCTATTTTATTTTCAGCTGGAATAGATACAAGTTCTCAGTTGCCATGTCCATAAACTAATTTCTTTCTCTCTTTATTTGCAGTTACGTTGTCTCATATCACACAACTAGTTCTGAGTCACAACAAGCTTACATGTAAGTATATTCCTGTATTTAGACTTCATTACAGGCAGTTGAGTTGAAAAGATGACACTGTTTGATATTTTTTTGTAATAGAACACAATGTCACTGTTAAGAGTACTTCTTGGTTTAGTGCTTCATTAAAAATAAAGAAATTGAGGATGTGACTTAGCAGCCACATTCAACATGCCTTTTCATCTTCAGTACAGATCTGCAGTGTACTGAGAATTCTCAGTCTTTTTACCAGTTCAGCCAGAAATCCATTTCCTACCATGGCTCCAAAGTCCTTATGTTTAGATGAGGACTTCTGAAATTTTTAACTGTACCAGAAATGATAGAGTTTGCATTTTAGTGATAATTAATTTGACTGAAGCAAAACAGATTACAGCTCCACCGCATTATGTCTATACCCAAACATATGTGAGCAAAACTAACTGAATGTAAGCATCAGGCATGGGAGTCAAGCAGCATACTTCTGTCAAAAAAAAAAAATCTTCTGAGTGTAAGTTTTCTCTTGCTTGTACTGCACACACCGCCTTCAGTTATTACCTTGTGAATCCTGCTTCCCACAGTGAAGAAGCCTTTAAGTGAGGTGTTGGTAAATAGCATGTAATGAGAGCAATGTAAACATGAAATGTAACTTGGTGGAGGCAGATATCAGGCTGACTTTTGCGAGGCAGAAGTGTTTGTGGGTTTTGGGGGTTTTTTTTGTTTGTTTTTTTTTTTTGTTGTTGTTGTTGTTTTGTTTTGGTTTTTTGTGTTTTGTTTTGGTTGTTTTTTTTTTTTGTTTTTCGTGGGGTTTTTTTTGGGAGGTGTTGTTTTGTTTTGTTTGGGGGTTTTTTGGTAGTAGAATGCTTCAGGTTTATCCATCAGTGTCTTGTTGAAACATTCCTGCTTCTTGGTTGCTGAAATTCAAGCAGTGAATTTTATCTCATATTGTTGCTGCATCTTCTAAAGAGAAGTGTCGGTTTTGTTGATGTTCTTGTTGTTGTCTGCTCTCTGCACATGCCAGTGGATTTCTCTCTCAACCAGTCCTTCCGTTTTTGGAACTCAGTTGAAGAGTGTATGAAACGGGGAGGGGAATGGAACCACTAAAATGGGTTTGTGTTGATGAGAGGACTGGTTAGGTGCTTTAGCATGTACCCAAGGAAATCCTTACAAATTGAGATAGATTTAAAAAAAACCACAAACAACCCCCCCCAAAAAACAATCCATTAAAACCCAACCTACTGAACTCTTGCACTACTTGCTGCATGAGCTGGAAGGTAGTATGTTATTTAAAACATATGAATTAATGCAAAAATTTCACTAAAGGCTCTGAGCATTTGCAGAGGATTAAGCATGAGGAAAAATGTAAATATTCTTAGATTCTAGTACTTAAACACTTATCTGGATGCAGTTTATTGGGTACTAATGTGTAGCTTAAAGGGTTTGTAGCAGTAAATAGATGAAACTATGGGGACTGAATGGCTGTAAGAAGTATGATTTAGTTATTCTGGGCCTTGCTTCTAGTTGTGTAGTGTCCTCTAGATTGGCATATTGCTATTTGTTTTTGTCCCTATGGTAGTTTTCAAAGAATCTCAACTTAATTATAGATGTGACCAACAGTTTCCTGCCATCTATCAGGTAAATGATGATTCATGGGTAAATTGATGGGCAAATCGAGGCAGGAAAAATCCTTACCATCACTACTAAACATGCAGCTCTGTCACTGGTTTAGGTGGTCATGAAGTTACAAATAGCTGGAAGCTGGGAGAATGTTTTGAGAAAGATTGTGGTAAATTTTCTTTGAGCGTTTTGCCATCTGGCATCTGTTATAAGCCACTGATGGAGTTGGGCTGTGGGGCCACCCAGCTGGTGGCTTCTGTGTTCTCTCAGGTACTGCAAGGAGATGCCTGTCTGAACTTGAGTTGCTTGAAAGTCAGGCAGTTAATTTGATCCAGCCACTTCAGCTTTCTCTACAGACTTGGGAGGGTTGTGGTCACCTTGAGATAACAGTTCATTCTGCACACCTCTATCTAATGCTTGTGGTCAGACAGCTCACCCACAGTTGGGTACCTGGTGCTGCCAGGCAAAACTTCTCTCTGATGCTCTGGTATCTCTGTCCGAGTAGCTGCATATCTGGCATAAGGGTGAAATGAGTTGTAAATGTTACTGTTTGTAGTCTTGACTGTTCTTTCTCTGGGATTGTAAAATTCCTACAACTGTTGACATCTAACAAACTGCATCATCTCTTCCACATGACACCTTACAAATCTTAAACATAGCTAAAGGATAATTTCAGCTGAACACACAACTGGCTGGGCAGGTAGTAGGTATCTGCCTTGCTCTGAGGAAGAGGAGACAGGCTGAAACTCCTGCACAGAGACTCGAATCATGGCAAACTTGGCTTGGTCAGATCAGAGCTTGGGGAGGGGTTACATTCTTCAGCATGAGCACCAGAATAAAAAGCTAAGTAACTAACCTATGACCAGCTATGAGTCTTAGCTGTAGACCTGACTTGGAAAGATATGGTAATAAGGGTGTCCAAGAGGGATGTGTTTAGGTTTACTTCAACTATTCAAGAGTATACTCTTTCTTTAAAGTAGTTTAAATTTTCAGAATACCAGTTTAAGGACTACCACTGTTATAAATTTGTGTTATATTAAACCTCAGCCTTTAATTACTGTTTTCTTCTAAAGTAGCCATTAGGTCAGCAGACTGCAAATATATGGGTTCTCTCAGCCAAGGAATTCTGTCAGCCTTTCTAATTGCTGTGTTTGGGTTTCTTTTATGGGAAGGTAAGACCACTGCTTCTCCTGAGAAGTAACTCATTGAGTCTGAAACTTACTATTCTTTCACAAATGGATGTTGACACTTAAATAGACAGCACACATTTTTAAAAGGCTAAATTTCAAGTTCATTTTCTCATATTTGACACTGTTGACCTAATCTTTTAAGCTATGTAATTAATTGTCTTAGCAGATTGTTCTTAAAATGACTAGGAAGCTGATGGCAGTGACACTTGACATGCTACACTAAGGTCATATTAGCATCTTCTACTAGTTTTCTGCCATTTAAATGAGTGTTCTGCTTGCCTTTTTTTTTTTTTTTTTGCTGTTTAGAGTAAATATGTCTATCTGGAAGAATAGATACGGGTAGAAGCTGGATATGCATATTTTTATGTAAACATACTTCATATTTTTGCCAGAGAACTATTAAAAGTAAGTTAAGTTTCATTAGCAGGTTTGCACTGTTAAATCAGTTGCACTGTTAAAGCAGTTTGCACTGTTAAATCCATCATACTGCTCAGAATACTTTTGTGGTGTGGCTTTTGTTAATATTTTTAGTGTGGCCTTCTTACTGCATGTATGTGTCTAAATCATTCACAATCAGATGTACTCAAGTCCACATTGATTTTTTCTGGAGCATATTAGGCTGAATTTTTTTTCAGCTATCTGGTGCTGTGGTAATGGAAGAGTCTTGAATTGGCTTTTGCTCTCGGTGCCTTCTGAGTCTGTCCTTTCCTGCTTGGTGAGAACTTTTTGTGCTTCAAAATCAGAAGCAAAACTCTGGGGAAAGATAAATAGCTGCAATTCTGCAGTCTTTTTGAACCAGTTGCTGCTTAAGTGACAAACCTGTGATGATTCTGCTGTGGAGTCTCTGCGAAAATCCAGTTGAAAGCGGAGGGAGAAAGTGAATATTTGTGCTTTCTTTTAACATAATGTAGGACTTGTGTGACAGTGTCTCTGTATGTTGTACTGGGAGGTTTTTGTTACATCATTTAGTGATTTAAAGCCTTCTATCCAGTATACAGCTGAGAAGCAAAATTCAAGACAGTCTTAGCCTGCATAGGTTGTCTGATCCTGACCCGGGGGTCTGTTTACCCATTGGCTATCATCAAAATAAATGAAATAAAAGTCCGGGCAAATGTTCCTCAGATTGGTGGAAATGAGCAGCTGAATGATAGATATCTGTCCTTCAGTGTGGTGGATTACTTTGGGTAGATGTGACCAAGTTGTCTTTGTTCTGTGTCATTTGATGCTAGCTGAGGGACATACAGGTGACCTTCACCTCCTGCTCAGTGGGATCATTATTAGGACATGCATAGGGGTAGGGAGTTAGGGTAGCTGTGCTGGCGGAGCATGAAAGGAGTTGCAGCCAGAGGACATACTTTTGTAGAAAACACACTTGATCAGTTTGGTCAGTCACAAATATTGTTTCTGAATTGTATGTGCAACAGTAGTAACTTTTATGGGTATCCACTCTCCTGTTTTGTGCATTTATGCTTAGAACTGCTTCACTCAAGTTCAAGTGGAACGTAGCTGGAAGTTGGCAGCAATCTTGGCCACTTGCTCTTTCTGACACCTCTGTGTGGGGTGCAAGTGAACTTCAGGTGTTGTTACAGATCTGCACGTTCTGCAGAGCCAGGTGGCATGATTCCTCTCATGTTACTGCTCCATGGAGTGGCCGTGCCAGTCCTGTGTCAAGGAATTTGTCACAGAAATTCTTGAAATCAAACTTGGTCCTACTTTGTTCAGAATCCTTCTACTCTGGGTCTTGCCCCCATATTATTTCAAGCAGTGTATCACATTGTCTTGAGGGCTTAGGGTTTGTGATTTTTTTTCTTTATAAATTGATTGTGCTAGAGCAACAAATGGCTACCTTTGACTGGAAAAAAGTGCCTTTGGAGGCTGAAGTCAGCAGGGTAGATTAGGTTTCAGCTTTGTTGCCACTAGATTTGTAAGTGAGCAATAATTGGAGTAGAATTAGCAACAAAGAAACTTCCATTTATAAAGGGAACTGTTAGAGCATAAAAAATGTGACTTATGCCTTGCCTGATGGTTTTTTTCCTAGCAGACCAGCTTTTGTGTCCTATTTTGCCATTAAGTATGAAGTGGTACTGAACATTCTAGACTTTAGAGAGCTAGGCTAGCTCAACATTAGTCTCCAGCTGCTGAAAGCATATACAAAATTTCACACTTTAATATAGGATGTGGAATCCTTACTTGGTGTGCTGACGAAGTTTTGGCAAT